CCGACTGGAGATCCATTGGAAATGTCGGTAAAATGATGAGTGAATTGAAATTTCACACAAACTTTTGGTAATGACTTGTCTTTCACTACAAATGAGAGCAGTAATGAAGTGTTCACTCAATTCAAGTCAATCCCAACTCTGCCTCCAGAGACACATCAATCACGTGTCGCTCGCTCTCCACTCAACGCAACCCTTTCCCACACGAACCACACATTCGGTGCCAATACTTCACTCCCTTTCCCTCCACTCGAGTCCACGTTTTTTATGGCAATCATTGCAATGTTTGTTCACTCAATGCATTGCAATACACGCTTTACACAGAAAATGTCATTCAATTGGTTTGCATTCAATAAATACAGTGATTAGCCGATTGTGGCATTCAATTCAATTCAATTACTATTGAATACTATATTTAGGCAATTATGTGATTATAGTCAATGAAAACATATGTTTTATACGATAATCCCAACCTTAATGATAAGTATAGCTATGAATACATAGAAAGTATGGTTAGAGCAGAGAGTGTGGGAAAGTTAGGTTAGGTTTGGTTTGACTGCAAACGCAAAACACATGAAAAGCTTTTGCGACGAAAACACTGTTTGTTTGTTTGGACACAAAATTCATGTGCTTTTCATGAAACAAACCATTGCTGCGACAAACACTCAGACAATCAAAGTCACCACAACTTTGCAATTATTTGTGTTGTCCTTAAAAACATTCATTCAATTTGTGCTCAAATTTCAATATCAATGAAATGAAAACGACAAATTCTGTAAATCTGTTTTGAGAAGTGGTTTACGACTGTTGTGTACGTTACTCAGCATGAAACTCACGCTAAAAGTTTGTGTTGAGTTTGTAGTTACGGAAAGTTTGGTAAACATAAAAGCATTTAATTTGATGTAATTGTCTTTAATTACCACTTATTTGTTGATTTGACAGATAAGAGACGGTTGTCTTCTATGGCAAAGTCTGACAACTCTTTGCGAGCGCTGTATTTGGACGCGCAGTCGACCACACCATTGGATCCACGAGTGTTGGACGCAATGATGCCATACATGGTGTCGATGTACGGAAACCCACACTCGAGGACCCATTCCTATGGCTGGGAGTCAGAGAAGGCCACAGAAGAGGCGCGTCAGAGTGTGGCCGACATTATCGGCGCCGACCCTAAAGAGATAATCTTCACGTCCGGCGCCACCGAATCCAATAACATAGCACTGAAGGGATGCGCGAAGTTTTACAAAGACAAGAGGGATCACATCATCACCACTCAGACCGAACACAAGTGTGTCCTCGACTCGTGTCGGTATCTCGAGAACGAAGGCTTTCGCGTCACTTACTTACCCGTTCAGAGCACCGGTATTATCGATATGAATGTCTTGCGAGAAGCCATTAACGACAGGACAGTATTGGTGTCCATAATGACTGTCAATAACGAGATTGGAGTGAAACAACCGATTAAAGAGATCGGAGGGTTGTGTCGATCAAAGGGTGTCTTCTTTCATACGGACGCCGCACAAGCCGTCGGGAAAATCCCTCTCAATGTTAATGATATGAACATTGATTTAATGTCAATAAGTGGTCATAAGATCTATGGACCCAAAGGTATCGGTGCTCTATATGTGAGGCGAACTGGCTCTCAAGCATAGCTTCGGGAAGTTTCACCACCGCCTGTCCTTTCCCCATAATCTTCGCCTTGTCATGGGTGTGGTAACTGTCACCCAAAACCCTCGCGGACACGATAACGATTTGTCCTCGATGAATACGACCACAAATGGATTGAATCTCTTTCTAATCGACTCGTCTCCCGAATTACGGCCGAATTGCCGAAAGTCATCCGAAATGGAGATCCAAACCATTCATATCCGGGTTGTGTTAACCTATCGTTCGCTTACGTCGAAGGGGAGAGCCTTTTGATGGCATTGAAAGACGTGGCGCTCTCATCGGGCAGTGCCTGCACTTCCGCCTCGTTAGAGCCCTCCTATGTCTTGAGAGCCATCGGTTCCGATGAAGACTTAGCCCACTCTTCCATTCGCTTTGGAATCGGAAGGTTCACCACAATAGAAGAGGTCGACTATACGGTCGAGAAGTGCATACATCACGTCAAGAGGTTGAGGGCTATGAGTCCGCTCTGGGAGATGGTTGAGGAGGGCATCGATATTAAGACCATTAAATGGAGTCAACATTAAATTGGATTCAAAATTAAATGAATGAAATTGAGTTAAAAATCATTTAAAATGATTCATTTGTTTTGAATAAATAAATGTTGTATATTTTACAATCTTTATAATTTGGTTTTGAATTAGTTTTTGTAAAATAATTGAATTTATTGATTGATTATAGAATTTTATTTAGATTACAAAGACATATATTTTTAATTGAAAGGAATTTTTAATAGAATTTCAAGAAAACTGTGTGAATATGATGTGATTTGATATGTTATCTCATTCTGTGAACTGTAACCCTTTTTGTCAAAGTTGCCTCTATAAAAATAATCATTAAACATTTTTATTTGTTAAAACTTAATTAAACTTAATAGGTGATTTGATTTTGATTAGTTTTTAAGTTATTTTTGATACGGTATAAAACTTCTTCAAAAATCGATAGTCGTGTGCGAAAGTAGTCATTCAGATGGCAATGAATAAAATTCCATAAAAGCAAGAATTGGTGAAAATGTTGAAAAAGTGACTTTCAGTACATATAGTTTTAGCGTTAGTGCGCGAATGAGAAGCATTAGTCGACTGTCGACTGCACTGGTATTGTATGTATTGTGTGGAGAATGAAACGTTAGGAATGCCTTCTCATGATTTGAGATAAATCAACACTAAGACACAAGGGAACGCTTCACTCATCACTCCTCCAGTAATTCGTTTAAAACTTTTGTTTTTATTAAATGCCACCAAAAACACAAATATTACTATAAAGTGTTTGTTGGCAAACATATAATTCTTGGTTCAAAAACTAAAGTATTCTTGAATTAATGAAAATTCTGTGTAATATGAGCTCAAGAATTGTCATAAAAATAGTATACATTCTCTGTTATAATCTGTGAGATTAGGAAATGAAAAAACCCGTGATTTTGTTTTGGGTGAGTAAATAATGGATTGACTTTTATTTGTTTAACACTTATAACAAATAGAGTTTATTTTTATTAAATCCACTGAATCTTCAAACGATTCAACAGAACATTTTGGTTTAATATACCATTTTTTAATATATTGTAAATTAAAGTCAATTTTTACGAAAAAAAGTTTCAATTTTCAAACCAATTACTATTATTAGAGATAAATTAATCAATCATTATACACATTATACGTTACATTTAAATTTATTATAATTATAAATTTTATAACTACATATTAAATTATAAGCAACTCAACCTTTAATAACAATTTGCGGTTCAAGACTAACATGAAAATGCTTTCAATTTTGTAGACAAAGATTATTAGTAAAAGTTTGTAATCATTTAAGTCACGAAATATTTCGATTTTGCATATCTTTTCTCTTTTTAATAAATACAAATGGTTTGAAAGGCATTGATGTTTGAGTTGTGTTTGAAAATCGCACTCAAAGTACGACTCATTGCATGTGTTGTCAGCATTTGGTGAAGAGTTTTGTCTAAATGTCTTAAACAGCAAAAGATTTCATTGATATTGAAATTTCAGCACAAATTGAATGAATGTATTTAAGGACAACACAAATAATTGCAAAGTTGTGGTGACTTTGATTGTCTGAGTGTTTGTCAATACAATGGTTTGTTTCATGAAAAGCACATGAATTTTGTGTCCAAACAAACAAACAGTGTTTTCGTCGCAAAAGCTTTTCATGTGTTTTACGATTGCAGTCAAACCTAACCTAACTTTCACACACTCTTTGCTTCACTCTAACCATACTTTCTATGTATTCATAGCCATACAGTACTTATCATTACGGTTGGGATTATCGTATAAAACATATGTTTTCATTGACTATAATCACATAATTGCCTAAATATAGTATTCAATAGTAATTGAATTGAATTGAATGCCACAATCGGCTAATCGTTGTATTTATTGAATGCAAACCAATTGAATGACATTTTCTGTGTAAAGCGTGTAAAGCATTGAGTGAACAAACATTGCAATGATTGCCATAAAAAACGTGGACTCGAGTGAAGGGAAAGGGAGTGAAGTGTTGGCACGGAATGTGTGGTTTGTGTGCGAAAGGGTTGCGTTGAGTGGAGAGCGAGCGACACGTGATTGATGTGTCTCTGGAGGCAGAGTTGGGATTCACTTGAATTGAGTGAACACTTCATTACTGCTCTCATTTGTAGTGAAAGACAAGTCATTACCAAAAGTTTGTGTGAAATTTCAATTCACTCATCATTTTACCGACATTTCCAATGGATCTCCAGTCGGCTCTCCTCTCCAGGTATTTATCATTCAATGACACGATATATGTCTTGATTATCACCCACTGGTGGACACGAGTGGCCAATGAGTGGCACATTGAGTGATGTGTTGTTGCAGTCATTGAGTGATTGAGTCATTTGAATGACAATTCATTTCACGACCCATTGGTTGCGATAACCAATACATGAATACATGACTCATTGTACCACTCATTCACTCTTTGCCGATGACTGTCGTGTGCAACGAGTGCACCAAATATGTGACACTAATGGTGTTGTGGTGGTCGACAGGTTCACCTCAGCCCTGCCGACGCCGATGCGCTTACGAGACCTGATCCGTCAGATCCGCGCGTCGAGGACTGCGGCCGACGAGCGGTCAGTCGTGCAGAAGGAGTGCGCTTACATTAGATCCACTTTTCGCGAGGAAGACAATGTGTGGCGCTGTCGTAATGTCGCCAAACTCCTGTACATTCATATGTTGGGATACCCGGCACACTTCGGACAGGTATGGCACTCGTGGACAGTGTTGTTGATCTCGTGTTAACCCAATGACTGCACCGACAGCTCGAATGCCTTAAACTGATTGCTTCGCCGCGATATACAGACAAACGGATTGGATATTTAGGAGCAATGCTTCTGTTGGATGAGCGACAAGACGTTCACCTCCTGATCACTAACTCCCTGAAGAAGTATTGGATTCACTAATGATTGTGTGATTGAATGAACTAATGGTGTGTTTTGTNAGACAAACGGATTGGATATTTAGGAGCAATGCTTCTGTTGGATGAGCGACAAGACGTTCACCTCCTGATCACTAACTCCCTGAAGAAGTATTGGATTCACTAATGATTGTGTGATTGAATGAACTAATGGTGTGTTTTGTTAGTGATTTGAACTCTCAGGCCCAGTTTGTGGTTGGATTAGCCCTCTGCTGTTTGGGAGCCATTTGTTCCGTAGAAATGAGCCGAGACTTAGCCGGAGAAGTGGAGCGACTCATGAAGTCATCCAACACTTACATCAAGAAGAAGGCGGCCTTATGTGCGGCAAAGATTGTCCGCAAAGTGCCCGAACTGATGGAAATGTTTTTACCGGCCGCTAGAAGTCTGATCACTGAGAAAAATCACGGTTTGATTGCTTGAAGCGACTGTTTATTTGTGCCGTTTGTTAGCCTAATGTCTATACCTCTCCACAGGATGTCTAATAACTGGAATCATATTGATAACCGAAATGTGCGAAAATAGTAGCGAGACATTAGTTTATTTCAAAAAGGTTTGTGTAACAAACATTTGTGTCCTTTTGTTCGTTTGTTATTTGCGTCAATATTTTGTGATTGTTTTTTGTTTGCTTTTAACTCAACGCTTCACTAATACTAACACTGGACTTACTATATGTTTAGTCCAATGAGGTTCGTCTTAACTTCTGTCACTATATCTGTTCCCTATGTCTATGTCTGTGTTTCCTCACGGTATCGCATATTGTTTATGTGCTCTAATGGCTAATATTTTTGTCTATCAGATGGTTCCCAATCTGGTGAGAATCCTGAAGAACCTAATTATGGCGGGATATTCACCCGAACACGACGTCTGTGGTGTTAGCGATCCGTTCCTTCAAATCAAAATCTTACGGCTCTTAAGGCTTTTGGGTCGCAATGACTCGGAAAGCAGTGAAATAATGAATGATATTTTAGCCCAGGTTTGTATGAACACGACGTCTGTGGTGTTAGCGATCCGTTCCTTCAAATCAAAATCTTACGGCTCTTAAGGCTTTTGGGTCGCAATGACTCGGAAAGCAGTGAAATAATGAATGATATTTTAGCCCAGGTTTGTAGTGATGTGATTGCTTTAATTGTTATGTGATTATAATATATGAATAATTATGTGACCAAAAGGTGGCCACAAATACGGAAAGCAGTAAAAATGTGGGAAACGCTATATTGTATGAAACGGTTATATCGATTATGGAAATCAAGTCGGAGGGAGGCCTGAGAGTGTTGGGCGTCAACATATTGGGCCGCTTTTTGCTCAACACTGATAAGAACATACGTTATGTGGCGCTCACCACTCTTCTCAAGACCGTATCCGCCGATTACAACGCAGTGCAGAGACACCGGACAACGATCGTCGAGTGTCTCAAAGACCCCGACGTCTCGATCCGCAAGAAAGCCATGGAATTGTGTTTCGCTTTAATTAATTCAAATAACATCCGAACGATGTCTAAAGAGTTGATCCTTTTCCTGGAAAAGGCTGACCCGGAGTTCAAATCGATTTGTTCGTCAAACTTATGCATTAGTGCCGAGAAGTACTCTCCCGGCCATAAGTGGCACATTGACACAGTCATCAAAATACTAACCACGGTAACCATTGAACCAATTATTTGCATATAAGTGCTAATCAAACATTTCTATTGAAAGGCTGGAAATTATATTCGAGACGATGTGGTCGGGAGTCTTATAGAGTTAATATCAATGACTAATTCATTGCATAGTTATGCCGTCCAACAGCTATACAAACAATTAAACGGAGATTTAGAGTCAAAGCAGCCTATGATTCAGGTGGCGATGTGGGCGTTGGGAGAGTTCGCCGACTTGTTGACAGTTCCCGTCAATGACTTGGATTCCAATGATTCGCAACCCATTGAGGTGTTGGATGTGAAGGAAGACGATGTGATCGAGAAGTGCGAACAACTTCTTATGGCTAATGGTATGACTATAGTCACCAAAGAGTATAGTATCGCCGCTCTTATCAAACTGAGCGCCAGATATCCAAACACTGCGTCGCGCGTCAAACAAATCATTGATCTCTTCGGATGTGATCATAACGTAGAACTGCAACAAAGAGCTGTTGAGTTCGCGTCACTCTTTAGTAAACACAATCACTTGAGAGTCGGTCTTCTGGAGAGAATGCCTCCCATGACTGTGAGGGCAGACAAACGGAATGGCGTCCAGAATGGAGATGTCACTGAAGAAGATCTCAATTATGAGAACGAGTTGTCCAATGAGATCAGTAAGAGTGATGTTAAGCCACCGCCCACTTCAAGTCTCTTAGATATCTTAGACCTGAATGTCTCTCCAGTCAAAAGCATTGATTCAAACAAATCAATGCCAATAATACCGCAGTCGACAGCAGTTAATGTTTTGGACCTTTTGGTAGGACTTGATTTGAACCCAACGACAGACAACACATTAAACCAGAACCCGATTGGCATTCCTTCTCTGGTTAACAATATATCAAACGAATCGCAAACTAATATTTTCGACGGTTTCTTAAATGAAGTCAAACCTAACCTACAAATTAATAATTCTATTGAACCTATCGTTGCATTTAATAAGAATGGATTAAAAATAGATTTTAATTTCGAAAGACCCGCCGATGACCCGACTCTATGTGTCATATCATTGATGGCAACCAATTCCAGTCCCTATCCAATGGATGAGTTCCTATTCTCAGCAGCTGTTCCTAAGGTCTGATTGATTTAGATATGAATTTATAAATTAACATTAAAAGTTCGGTTCTAATGGTTGTATGAAATGGACAGACATTCCAATTACAACTGATGCCGCCCTCAAGTAATAGGATCGCTGAGAGCAATATGGGAGCTGTGAATCAAGTGATTAAAGTGACCAATCCTAATAAGGTATTGCTAACCTAACCGGTCTAATCTAAATAAATGCTTAAATGTGTATTTGTATTGAGTGCAGAATCCACTGAAGTTGAGACTTAAGATCGAATATCAACACAACGGTAATAAAGTGGAGGAAACGTCGGATGTAACGAGTTTTCCGGTCACGACGTGGCAATAGGAACGGCCAATAAATAGGTTCTGATACACAATAACTTCTAACAGAATCTGTGCCTCACTGCAGATATCATTAGTGCAAGAATGGCATCAAATTTGTCTGTATTTACCTCTAAATGATTTTTGGCGGAGAGTTTTGGAACAGATTTTGTTAGTTTTGAAACATAATTATTGCTAAGAATTTGATATTTTTATTATACATTAAATGAGTTTAATATAAGTTATGCAGAATTCTGTGTATAAATTGAACGAATATATCGTTTTTCTAATTGAGTCGTAAATATATTTATGTATATAAAACACTAATTATTGTTTTGTTTATAAGAATGGGTTTAACCATTAAACTGGAAATGGGATTAATATTTAAGTATTAAATAAATAGATTTAAATGCATTTGTACTGTATTTAAATTTATTAGAATATTGATTTACATGCGCTATCTATATCTGAATATAAATATTTAAAACCTAAATCTAAAGTCCTTTTGGGTATGACTTTGTGTCCGGCAGTCATCATAACGGCGCGCTCGCCACCAAATGCCAGTCTCACTACAGACTCGGGCAATGGTATGAGAGTAGGCCTCCACATCGCTCGGCCCACAGCTTGCGTTACAATTAAAATGATTAAACTATACGTCAAAACATGAGTGATATATGAAACCTTTGGAGAACTCATAGTTTGTGATGAGTTGTGGCGCAACTCCATTGAGGACTCCGTTCACGTGTTTCTCTTCGATGGCAAACAGGAAAAGATTGACTAAATCGTCGATATGAATCCATGGCATGTACTGCTTCCCGGAAGCTATAGGTCCACCCAAACCCATATAGAATGGGAGGTATATTTGCTTTAGAATACCTAAACATTAAGACAAGTTTAGTCCAATAAATGGATTCTTTAAATACAAACCTCCGTAGAGTCCCAAAACAACTCCCGATCTAATGATTACATTTCTAACCCCCAAATCTGGGGGCAGTTGGGCTGCTCTCTCCCAATCTGTGCACAACTGAGCCATGAAATCATTGCCTCCTTTACACTCTTCGGTGTATTCATTGGTGAGACTCGGCTCATAAAAACCAACACCAGAGATGTTGATCACCACTTCCGGCCGTTTTTTCATACGTTTGACAGCATTGGCCAACATTTTGGTTGTTTGAACTCTACTATGAATGACATTTTGTTTGAATCCTTCGGTCCATTTGCGTCTGAAGTCGAGTACGTTCTGACCTGAGACGTTGATCACAGCTCTCGTCCCTTCAGGTATACCTTTCTTACTGATGTCCGTCTGAATAGCGATAATATTAGTATAAAAACAAATTCTTTGCTATTAATATAACTGTAATTCAATAGTTTTAAAGTTACGGAAAGTTATGTTTCCATAGAAACAGATTTGTTGTGACAAAAGTGATACATATTTAGCGAAATGGATACCGATTTTGGATTGGATTCGTCGGAACCGTTAGAAAACACAAGAACTCAACGCAAAAGAAGGAGTTCTTTATTCGGGAAACAAAGCAATGGAAACGCGAATCCAATTCCCGATTCTGACGATGCGTTCGCTGATAAGTCCGATATATCTGCCGTTCCTCCGGTATATAAACACCTCAATCATACAAATGAGCAAATTTGTGACTAATATATAGACCCGCAGTCAGGCTCTCGACCCCGACGTCTGGCCACTTGGGCTGACGACTCATCCGATGAGATCCAACAGATCCGCAACATTCAGATGTCGGCCAACAAACAGAAAATTATTGCTCGCCACCAAATGCCAGTCTCACTACAGACTCGGGCAATGGTATGAGAGTAGGCCTCCACATCGCTCGGCCCACAGCTTGCGTTACAATTAAAATGATTAAACTATACGTCAAAACATGAGTGATTATCAAACCTTTGGAGAACTCATAGTTTGTGATGAGTTGTGGCGCAACTCCATTGAGGACTCCGTTCACGTGTTGCTCTTCGATGGCAAACAGGAAAAGATTGACTAAATCGTCGATATGAATCCATGGCAAGTACTGCTTCCCGGAAGCTATAGGTCCACCCAAACCCATATAGAATGGGAGGTATATTTGCTTTAGAATACCTAAACGTTAAGACAACTTTAGTCCAATAAATGGATTCTTTAAATACAAACCTCCGTAGAGTCCCAAAACAACTCCCGATCTAATGATTACATTTCTAACCCCCAAATCTGGGGACAGTTGGGCTGCTCTCTCCCAATCTGAGCACAACTGAGCCATGAAATCATTGCCTCCTTTACACTCTTCGGTGTATTCATTGGTGAGACTCGGCTCATAAAAGCCAACACCAGAGATGTTGATCACCACTTCCGGCCGTTTTTTCATACGTTTGACAGCATTGGCCAACATTTTGGTTGTTTGAACTCTACTATGAATTACATTTTGTTTGAATCCTTCGGTCCATTTGCGTCTGAAGTCGAGTACGTTCTGACCCGAGACGTTGATCACAGCCCTCGTCCCTTCAGGTATACCTTTCTTACTGATGTCCGTCTGAATAGCGATAATATTAGTATAAAAACAAATTCTTTGCTATTAATATAACTGTAATTCAATAGTTTTAAAGTTACGGAAAGTTGTTTCCATAGAAACAGATTTGTTGTGACAAAAGTGATATTTAGCGAAATGGATACCGATTTTGGATTGGATTCGTCGGAACCGTTAGAAAACACAAGAACTCAACGCAAAAGAAGAAGTTCTTTATTCGGGAAACAAAGCAATGGAAACGCGAATCCAATTCCCGATTCTGACGATGCGTTCGCTGATAAGTCCGATATATCTGCCGTTCCTCCGGTATATAATATATCTCCCGTTCCTCCCGTTCCTCAATCATACAAATGAGCAAATTCGTGACTAATATATAGACCCGCAGTCAGGCTCTCGACCCCGACGTCTGGCCACTTGGGCTGACGACTCATCCGATGAGATCCAACAGATCCGCAACATTCAGATGTCGGCCAACAAACAGAAAATTATGGACAGTTCTGACAACGAAGTGACGCCAATGATTCCCGATCTCCAAGAAGTCAATGATTATGAGATGACACAAACAGTGGCCGAACCGCCGACGGCTCACAATAAGATCATTAGTTTCAAAGAGTTGGACAAAAATCTATTAAAAGAGTCGGCCTTCACATCACTCGATGACATCGATTTGACGCCTTTGACCCGTTTCTGTCTACCAGAGGGTCAGGTCAGGGAGGAGGACATCACTTGGAGTTGGGATCACCTCATGTCTGACATCACTTCGGCCCTAACCACTGACACCGACACTAATGTCTAATCTAATCCTAAATCTAATTACTATTCATTGAATGTATTGAATGAAAGTGAATGAAATAAATACTAATTTCTTAATACAATACCCAATGAAATGATTGATAAGTTTAGACACGAGACTAAAGAGGAATAAACTGTGGACAGACCCAAGAGAGTGATCGGTTGGCCGGCATTCGTGAGACGACCCAAACATCTGCTTTGGCGGCGCGTAAGGCGTCTGCGATGGCGGTGCCTATGAATCCCGTCCCACCGCCTGTCCATCAGTCCATCAGTCAGTCAACACACGGAAAGACAGTTTATATGACATCTGAAGACATGTGTCATTCAAATCAATACAAACCGATCACTATTTTGCCCAAAATGTGTGCACTTTCCGTCATTGTCTACACTCTTAGCAGTACTTCATAACAAGTGACCATTAATTCAAATGAGTATTAATTGCGTTAAAAGTGATTCAATTGTAACCATAAAAATGCAAATCAATTGAGAAGTGACTGAAAGGTGAGAGAAGTGGCAAACTTTGGTGTCCTTTGCCTCTCATTGAAAGCATATGAAAGTCATGTGATCTCAACGTAACTCTGTTTGCAAACATTGAATGCAAACCTATTTGACAACTCATTCATTGCATCACAATTAGCCATATATTAGACCACACTTTATATCATATGAGTTATGATTTTATTTGCACTCATTTACTGGTTCATACATTTTAATCATAATTCAATTCAAATTAAATAAATTTAGCAAGTTTAGCAAGTTAGGTTTAGCAAGTTAATAAATTTAGCAAGTTTAATTTAGCAAATTAAATAAATTTGAAATAATTCATGCAAGCCGTAAGGTTATAAGACTAAGACCTATAGTTTGGTTAACTTACTTAGTTATACTTAATTATACTAGTATAACAACCTAGGACAATTTGGGTGAATTGATGCAAACAAGTGATACTAAGAAACCCTTGACAGCAATAATCTGTGTCTCCATCAGGAGTCTGATTCAGAATTAAGACAAATGAGTGAACAATTGATATGATGTGTAATAACTGATGAAATCATCGCATCTGTATTGAGAAGTGACTGAAAGGTGAGAGAAGTGGCAAACTTTGGTGTCCTTTGCCTCTCATTGAAAGCATATGAAAGTCATGTGATCTCAACGTAACTCTGTTTGCAAACATTGAATGCAAACCTATTTTGACAACTCATTCATTGCATCACAATTAGCCATATATTAGACCACACTTTAAATCATATGAGTTATGCTTTTATTTGCACTCATTTACTGGTTCATACATTTTAATCATAATTCAATTCAAATTAAATAAATTTAGCAAGTTTAGCAAGTTAAGTTTAGCAAGTTAATCAATTTAGCAAGTTTAATTTAGCAAATTAAATAAATTTAAAATAATTCATGCAAGCCGTAAGGTTATAAGACTCTAAGACCTATAGTTTGGTTAACTTACTTAGTTATACTTAATTATACTAGTATAACAACCTAGGACAATTTGGGCGAATTGATGCTAACAAGTGATACTAAGAAACCCTTGACAGCAATAATCTGTGTCTCCATCAGGAGTCTGATTCAGAATTAAGACAAATGAGTGAACAATTGATATGATGTGTAATAACTGATGAAATCATCGCATCTGACGTGATATCAAAGCATTGGTTTCCAAGCAATCAATTCAATACAGTTTACAAGTTTTACGGATCTGTATATCAGTGACAACCGTATATTTGACATAATTCACACAATTTGTGGTCAACCTAATGAACCAAATTTATAAATTCATATAACATTTAAATTAAAAAACTTTTTTTTATTACAGTTATTGTAATAACGATAGGATTTTTATTGGAAACTCTGTTTAATGAGTGGAAACGTAATGACAAGACGACCCCTCAATGAATATTGACTCAAAGCTCTGAAATCTATGCGAAAAGTGATTGAAATTGTTATTCAATTGTTATTTATTTGTCATAATTATTGCTTTCATTTGCTTCACAATCACTTCAATTGATTTGATCCCTGTTTTACACCATCCACTCATTGGACACTCAACGCGCAAGTGATGACAAATCAGGGAACTCTTCAGGTCAGTAGTGATGGCAATGATGTGCGAGTGAGTGACGTGATTGTCATGTATTGCAGAAAGCGATAGAACTGGTGACCAAAGCCACTGAAGAAGACAAGAACAAGAACTATGAGGAGGCGCTCAAACTATACGAGCACTCCGTCGAGTACTTCTTGCACGCCATCAAATGTAAGACCCATTGCCTCTATCATTGTTGTGTCCATTGACTGACCCGTGTGTGTGTCTGTGTCTGTGTGTCTGTACCCATGGATCAGATGAGGCGCAGTCTGATAGGGCCAAAGAGAGCATACGAGCCAAATGTGTCCAATACTTGGAGAGGGCCGAGAAGTTGAAGACTTATGTCCGCAACAAAGACACCACTAATAAGAACGACAAGAAACCCGTCAAAGCGGGCGATGCGGCCAATAAGGACGACGACTCGGACGAGGAGGACAAGGATAAGAAGAAGCTGATGAACCAATTGGAGGGCGCCATCGTGATCGAGAAGCCCAACATCAAGTGGTCAGACGTGGCCGGACTCGAGGGCGCCAAAGAAGCGCTCAAAGAGGCGGTGATTCTTCCCATAAAATTCCCGCATCTATTCACTGGCAATCGGAAGCCGTGGAAAGGGATCCTTCTGTTCGGACCGCCCGGAACGGGAAAGTCTTATTTGGCGAAAGCCGTGGCCACTGAAGCCAATAACTCGACCTTCTTCTCGGTCTCGTCGTCTAATCTGGTGTCCAAATGGTTGGGCGAAAGTGAGAAACTCGTGAAAAACCTGTTCGAAATGGCCCGACAGCACAAACCAAGTATTATATTCATCGATGAGGTCGACTCACTCACGAGTAGTCGTTCCGACAATGAGTCCGAATCTGCGCGAAGAATCAAAACTGAATTTCTCGTCCAAATGCAGGGTTTGTATTGAATTTGTCTTGTGTTGCGTTCAGTCATGTATTGACACTATATTCGTGGTGAAGGTGTGGGTAATGATAACGACAACGTCTTGGTATTGGGTGCGACGAACATTCCCTGGGTTTTGGACGCAGCCATCAGAAGACGGTTCGAGAAACGGATTTACATCCCATTGCCTGAAGAACACGGAAGGCTTCAGATCATTAAAATCAATATCGGAAACACAGACAACAATCTGACGGAAGAGGATATAAGGGTTTTGGCCAAAAAGACGCACGGATTCTCTGGCGCCGACATATCAGTGCTCATGAGGGACGCACTCATGCAACCCGTCAGGAAAGTGCAGAGCGCCACACATTTTAAGAAGGTTTGTCTTATTGTCCATCGATTCACTCGCGAGTTATTAACTCTTGTGGTTATGTGTCTGTGATGTCCATCAGATGAGCGGTCCGTCTCGAAGTGATCCCAATGTGACTGTCGATGACTTGTTGACGCCGTGTTCGCCGGGAGAGAAGGGGGCCATTGAGATGTCATGGGTTGACGTTCCCGGAGATAAGCTCTTAGAGCCCGTGGTGTCCATGAAAGACATGTTGTCGTCATTATCTAAAGCGAAGCCCACTGTCAATGACGCCGATCTCGAGAAGTTGAAGAAGTTTATGAATGACTTCGGACAGGAGGGCTAACACTAAGCCATTGATTATGAACTGTTTGATAAAACTGTTTGACTTTTATTTCAATCAAATTATTAAATCTGATTACAATTGTATTAAACCTATATTTTTAGTAAATTTTCCATTAAATGCTTATAAACTATATCTTAAACGCAAAAACAATTTTAAAGACTATTTGTTATTCAATTCAAAGTTCACTTTAATTCACAATAAAATCAATGAAATTATTAAATATGAAGTGAATTCAGTACAGTATTGACGGTTACATGAGTTGTCCTCTCAATCACCTCTACTTCTGGATCTACTTCTGGATCTAGTCTTCCATTTCTTGCGACACCTTTTCGTTGTAATCAGTTATCTCTTTGGCGATCAACTCTTCTTTCAGTTGATTTTGTGTCACATCTGAAGTGAAGCTAACGGACAGTTTGTATACCTCCTGAGCGCTGAGTAATTCGATGGCCTTTTGGGCACTTCTTGTAGAGTTGAAGTCAGCGAAAGCCAGTCCACGACCCAAATGACTCTTACTTTGAATTATCTTAAACCGCGAGATTTGGCACCCAATTCGTTGCATCCAACTCTTGAGACCAGATTCGGTGACATTGGATGGAAAGCCTTGGATCATGAGTTTGACGGATGACTTAGGCCTGGAGTCGGTGTCTCTGAACGGCGGCAACAAATGGATGGGCAGGAGAGCGGCCCTCTGGTCGTTGCCATAGCTGTTCACCAGCAATGAGTGGTAGTCTTCAGCCATTGGGTTCCAGTTGTCGAAGTCATCGGCCATTTGTTGTGGTATTTGGTGTGGAAGTGCTGGAAGTGCTGGAAGTGCTGGAAGTGCTGGAAGTGCTGGATGTGCTGCAAGTGTTGCAGTGATTCAGTGCCCACTCATGAGTCAGTGCCTCAAATGCATTGCAAACCAAACTTTGAATCATTGGTAAAGTGTTTCACTGTTTGCATGTATTTTATGAACAGTGCGTCGAGTGAACCAATAGAGGCCTTCAATACAGTCGCGTAACTGTTGTGTTGAATGACAGCCAATGAGAGAACGCATTACAAGCGAGTGTTGCCTTCAATACAAAACATCCAAAACATCCAAAACCACGACTTTTCGTCACTTTTTATTAGTTCTTCCACTCAGTGGTCAGTCACTCATGAGTTAGACATGAGCTACAGCTTAGACGATGAGTTGGACTTTGATCCAGACCTCGACGAGTCTTTTGACGATGTGGACGATCTACTGTACGACAGCGTCAGCACCAGTCATACCAATGCCAACGACAGTCGCAATGATAGACAAGACAGTGATGACCAACAAAGTGGTGGCCAAACGAGTGATCACATGGACAGCGATGACCAACACAGTGATGATGAACACAGCGATGGTAAGCGCAGTGATAGCCAACAAAGTGATGACAAATCAATTGATGGCAAACCAAGTGATGGCAAACCAAATGTCGACAAACGAAGTGTTGACAAACAAAATGATAACCGAAAGAGTGGTGTCCATCCGAGTGATGATAGCGATAGCGATGACGGTTGGAGTGATGATCCAGAGAGTGATGCCAAAGAAGACAAACCTATTGATCCAGAGAGTGATGCCAAAGAAGACAAACGTATTGATGATTTGGATCACTTGGAGAGCGTTTTAGCGACACTCGAGGGCTCGACCACTGAATTGCCAAATAAGAAGAGCGCTG